CTTGTTGTCCCGTCAATTAACAACTATTGAGCTTTGTTTCAATTGCATAGCTAACATTGACATTAACTGCTGTTTACAAATGTAAGTACTTGAACACTAAGAAATAAGTTAACTCAAATGCTTTAACCGCATATATCAGAGAAACAATACCTACAAAAGATTAAAAGTTATTAATTGTCACATACCTCTAATTTTACTTATTTCCTAAACTATTCCTCTCCTTGTTAATCGGCTTAATGCTACTGGTCTGCTTGCGTTTTCTCATTGAAGTTCAAGACTAAATAGGAAGATTTATCCTACAACTTTAAAGGTTAGTTGCCTCCCTAAGCGGACCCCCGCATCCTAATTTTGTTGTTGTGTTCTGAAGTTTCTTATTTAAGTTCATTTGATGATTATGATATCTCATTAGTCTAATTTAATAAATTATTGAAATCTCTAATTCACCTAATCAATCATAACCCATGCTTTATTAAGTACCTGTACTTGTGCTTGTAATCTAAAACTAAACGTGTTTCAAGTACTTTCGATTTTGACCTATAAACTGTCCCTGCTTCCATAACATCCGGCTCCTCTATGGAATACCGAACAGCATACGTAACGCCCTCTCTAACGACCCGTCCACGGAAGCAGCCCTAATAGTTTTCCTAAAAGATGCTGTTCGATAAAATATAATCAATATATATACAATGACTACACTTCGAACATGGACACCACTGGAGTAAGCCTGGATATTACATGACGATTACCTGACTGCCTTCGACAACGACCACCGCCATTCACACCATGATCCGCCAACCACGCTAAGAACCAAGACAGGAACTATAATGAACTCTGTTTAAAAATACTCTGTACTAAGGGGACTCCCTTCTGGAGCTCCACCAACCTCTAGGAGAACCCCTTCTGGGTTCTCCAAAATCTCAACTATGTAATTAGGGAAGCCCCCTTCTGGGGCTCCCGGAGATGAACCAGCCTGCGGCTGAAAATCTCCTAAATAGAGATAATAATAATAAATTTTGACCTATACCTATTTATTATATCTTGGTTCGGCCCAGGTGACACCTTCAAGTGACTAAAATGCTTCATTTTGAAGTTAGTTCCCAAGCATATTTTTAAATTATATAGGGTATATGCTCCAACTATGCTCACACGCTTCCACTATGTCGCACCACAAAAATACGTATGGATATGTCCATTCTTGGCATACACAGTTGTACACACCAACTGCTCATTTGTAAATAACTTTTCACTCAGTTGTTGAAATTAGTTTTTCTTTAAAGTAATTGATAGATTAGGATTATAGCTTACTATAGATATGCAAAAAGTAGATAAATCTTAACATTTGAATCAACACTAATGAATTTTTACTCTTAAAGTCCGAAATGTGCAGCGAGCATTTCTCACTTCATTTTTACAACGCAAAAACAAATAAAGTTTATTACTAGAATTAAAATCTACTTTGTTTTATGTATCTATAACAAGCTTAAACTCTATTCTATCTACTGCTTCAAAAAGAACTATGTTTCGTCAACTCTGTGTAAAGTTATAAGCAAATGAGTAAATCGTGACCAAAACTATGTATGCCAAGCATGGGTATGTCACAATAGAAGTACGCCACAGTGGAAATCCCGAGCCATAGTTCAAACACTTATCCCAAATCAAAATGAAGCACATATAAGAATAGTTACAATATCATGTACAAAAATGGTGTTTATCATTATTCCCTTTTTTTTTTTTTTTTCCTTGATTTGTTTTCCGTCGATCTTGTTTTCCGTGCTGAGCACCAATGCTACCGACGCCAGGAAGGCAGCTCCCACACCTGGACCCTACCTATCGACTCATCAACTCATGAACCGGGGACCAACGGCTTTACTTCCCTTCCGAAGGAAGGCGTGATCAGAGATGTTATGCCTCAGAACATTCCGGCGGCGCCGACTGGGATTGAACCCAGGCCTGCTGGGGTGAGAGGTAATCACGCTTACCACTACACCACCGGCGCCGCTATCATTATTCCCTTAGTAATACTTCAATGAAAACAAAAAGCAATACATACATTATTTATAATACCAACTGTACTATAGGTATTTTGGTTATTTATTCAATGATAATAAATAAATGAAAAACGAAATTGAAAAGTGCACTTTTAGTCGTTTTCACGATGAGAGCGACTCTATCTAAGATGCAGGGAAAAATTTGCTCTGCTGTTGTATGCGCGCAGACTTAGTAGATAGGAGGAAGATTGAGAAAGATTTTGAAAATTTCCTGCAAAAAGGTGGAGAGCGATGCAAGTAGATGGATTTAGATGCAAGAGATGAATAAAGATTTCTCCTAGATTGATCGCTATCGTGAGATTTTTTGACAATCTTAAATTGAGATTTAGATGTGTCGCACCCCACGCGTTTTCCCTTAAAAAAATTGTAATAGAAATAGAATGTACATTATCTAACTAGTTTCGTCAAATTTAAGAGTGAATTGTGGCAAAACCCGCGGGTATCACACCTGATGTCAGTGCCTTTATATAAACGTACTACGACGTGGCTAGGAAATTAATGAGAAGAATATGGGATACCATCACTTCGGGCCACTGTCTTGGTCTCATATGCAGCATGGGGTAAAGCTCTCCCACCTTCGGCAAGGTGCTTAATCATGGCCTACGGGAGGGAGAATTTTTTAAAGAGAATTATGGAGGATATTATAAGAGAATTCAATTATTCCATCCTGGACACAGAAAAAGGATAAAGATTCAATGTTTGCCTACAGCATGGGGTAAAGCTCTCCCAGGATATTATAAGAGAATTCAATTATTCCATAAAAAAATTCCGAGATCCTGGACACAGAAAAAGGAAAAAGATTCAAGGTTTGGGGAAAGGCTTAGATTTTTTAAGATTTCATGCTTAGAAAATTGTTATGGATTTAGAAAAATCTTCAAGGTTCAAAATGTTTTATTTAAAATGAAATATTTCGGGCATAGAGGAGGGAAATAGGGAGAAGATTAAGGAACGTCAGAAGTTTTCAAGTTCCAAACCTAGCTAAAATATTCGAAATGTTGCGAACCTGAAATTAATCAAATGGCATTCTTTTAATTCTGGGATTTTGGCACTTTAGAAAGTTTCTAGATCTTAGATTTGGAAATCGAAGCTTTAAGGCTTTGATATTTTATGAGATTCTAGACTTGTTCAAATTAATTCTATGCTAAATATATGCTAAAATGCAAAACTTCAATTTTAATGGTTTTGATTGTAAAACTAACTGTTATGTCTTGAAATCGTTTGTGAAAATAAAATTGTTTTACCAAACATAACATATTTTTTAACGCAATTAGAAAACAGTTTTTTTTTAAACATGGAAATTACCCGAAAAGTTCTCGAAAAACTTGGAAAACGCATGAAATTTTATTTGGCAAAATGAGTGGTTGGTTGGTTGTCTTTATTAAGGAGATTTTCAGCCAGAAGCTGGTTCATCTCCGGTCAAAATGAGTAGACACCCTGCATAAAAACCAGCTAAAATGTTACTTCAGTTTAATTTTATTTAAATAATTTAGTAAGTAAAATCACAAGAAAAGATGGCAAAGGTATAAGAAACCCCGATAATTTCAAATAATATTCGTAGATAAACAACAGAGATACATTATTAATATTGACGCCAAGATTTGAGTTGGTTCTATTGGTCTGAACTTACTGACAAGTTCTTAACATCAGTTAAGTTAACTTTGGCATACCCTTATGTTAAAATGCGTGTCGATGCTGTGACATAGCACGCCTGTCCCGTTGCTGTGAAATGAGCTTGATCGCATTTTGCAGATTTCAATTCCAATATAAAAGTTTAAAATGTACGCCTCTGTACTGGTAACCTGTATGCAGATTTCAAACTTAAACTGATTGACTGGATGCGTCCAAAAACTCTGCTCTGTACATCATAATACACGACAACAAGAATATCGTGATATTTGTTCCTAAAAATTACCATAAATAATTCACACCATTAAAAATAATTTCGTATTTTTTGTGATAGCACATCAGTTTCGCAATTTTTACGAAAGTTCAAATCCGCGAAAATTGTTAAATTCGCGAAATCCACGCCTGTTGAAACAGCCCTGTATTTATTGTTGAATTCAACGCATTATTTTGATGAATGTTAGTTGCAACTAAAACTGGACTGCTCCAAAAATGCAAAAAGTGTGATAAAAGTGCACGTTTACGTCAAATCGTTTTGTTGTCTTCAGTGCACTTATTTCTTACTCCATAAGGAATAAGTGCACCGAAGACAACCAAACGATGTGACGTAAACGTGCACTTTTATCACACTTTTTAATAAGTGAAAACGCGCTTATTTGTCCAGTTTGGTGGGAAATGCATAATACATCTATCTGATTGTAAACAGCCACGCAGAATGGATCCTTTTGCGTTGCGTTGACGTAAATTTGACAGATAACCCATGGGTTAACTGTCAAATTAATGCAAACGCAACGCAACGGAGGCTTCCAAGGTCGCGCCCTGAAAAATACTCTCAACACAAATGATTCTTTGGCACTTCAACAATAATATCTACTCGAATTAACGCCACAATCCTATTCAATCCACGGGGGAAACAAAAATTATTTTATTTTAAGACAACATTCAAAAATAATCTTAATTCATAATTCAATTTGATTCGATTGAATCATAATTCGATTTGAAATGATACGACAGTTTCCTAAACTTTGATTAAATCGGAGAAAACACAATAATTCATATTTTATGTTTACACGGGTTATTGAGAAAATAATAATAAAAAAACCTTTATAGAAACTACATTGAATTCCGGAGCGATTTTTGGTAGAACTATTAAACGTAAGAGAGTAATAAGAAAATGTTATTAACCCATTTCATTGCCAAAATGGCACACGTTTTTTTCAAATAGCCCTTTTTCCAGACCCTTAAGTCTTAACAGGTTGAACCTGCAACATGGAACATTCAAACCGGTTTTTATCTGAGTATTGGTATGCTTATATTAGATGTACTTACGACACGGCATAGGTATAACGGCAAAAATAGCAACAAACTTGCTCCAGATAAGTATTCCGGAAGAATCTTTCCTTAACTTTGTTTAATCAATTTCTTATCAGCTCCAGAGAACAAACAGATGGTTGCCGCCCGCGGTTGTTAAGCTTCTTCTTCGTTTCTGTATCCAATGGCACTATACTGAAGATGCTTCAATTCGCTAAACTGCAAACCATAATAGTATTCTTCCTTTCCACTGCCACGCGATAATAACACAAGAATGCACTGATTTTTTTTTTTCCTGCTTTTCTCTTCATTCATTCATTAAACAAAAAAAAAGAAAACTTTTACAGTCGATTTGCGCTTGTATTGAACGCTTTTGATTTAATTGTTATTTCTCCTGCACAAGATCATTGACTCGCCGTGTATAGCGAAGTAGAAAATGAAGCAAAACGTGTATTTTTCTATCTTCTTTCACCTTTATCCCGTTTGTTCTTCAGCTTCAGCGTACACACAAGACGTAAACACCGAAAGCAACGCAACTGTTAACATCAGGTTTAACACGCACACACTTATACTTGGTATTCTTTTGCATGAATTTACCACTCACACAAATACAAACACTTCCAATTAGACCAAGCACTTTACTTTCCGATCAAGTCAGAAAAAAGGCTTTATTCTAAAAAATCGCACCTGTTTCGACCGATTTCCGATGCTAGTAAATTTATAAGTAAACATTTACTCTTAATCACAATAATCCGTAAACACTACCACTTACTTTTCTAGTGCAAATTGACCGAAATACTTCGACCTCTAGACGCCACCGATGTTACTCTCAAACTGATGAACCACTCCAACAACCCAACTCAATCAAGTACAACTCAGTCTCCTCTCTATCAACTCTCTCAGCCAGGGTTGCCAAAAGTAAATCTACACTCAAAGATAAATTAAATAAAAAAAGCTTAAAAAGTACACTGATAAATACTATTCTCATTTTGCTTGAAATTTAATCAATTTGACATTAAGCTCAGTTTAATCATATCGAATGATTAAAAATTAATCCTCTTTTTCTAAAAAATAAGCATCTGATATTAATCCCAGTTAAATCATGATTGATTAGATTGTAGATTTTCTATTTTTGAATAAATTTGAATCATTTTTGATTTTATTTTAATAAATTTTGATTGAATTTTACACACTTAAACAGAGACCCTGAGTTCGGTAAAAAAAATTACCGTCTTAGATCGGTAATGCTAAAAATTACAGATGTTTCGGTATTTTCTCGCTTTATTGCTGAAAACTGGAAATGAAATGACCGAATTTCGGTAATTTTATTTCAATTTACCGAAAACGGTAAACATTTTTACCGGCAGGTCTGTAAATCAGCTTCATCACTGACTTCGGTGAAATATTTTACTGAAGTTTCGGTAAACAAAGCGTTCCATTACTGAGTTCGGTAACGGTCTAGGTAAACGTCAAATCCACCATATTGTTATTTTCGAAATACATTAAAAGCGTTCGTGCTTGTGAAAAATAGAAAAGGTGAAATTATGGAGGCTGTTATGCAACCGAGCGATGATCGAATCGTAGATATTTTCCGTAAATAATTAATTTTCGTTATCTAAATAAATACCGATGTTGTTGCTTGTTTTTTTCTGTCGGTCCAAGTTCCATTCCCGTTGGCGACGATCTGAAAACAGCATTTGAAATCTTCTTCCAATGCTTCCTTGATCGTCGCCAACGGTTTTGTTCATTGGTGGTGCAATTTGCAACACTAACTTATTGATCACGACTGTAGCCAAATTTTTGCATGGGTTGCAGTGACCGCCACCTTGAAACCAAGGTTGCAAAGACTCATTTCAGCTAAAACAATGTTTTTCTAAATTATGAAATAATTAGATGCCATGATCAAATTTTAAATTGGTAGGATACAAGAAGAGGTTGCAAAGAATGTGTTTGACATATTAAACCTGTTTATTTCACTTCACGAGAGTCACAATCAGCGATTTTTCACAAACTCACTCACTCACTCACTCACTCACTCAGCGATCAGCAAATCGCTGATTGTGACTCATAGAAAGCAAAATTTACAGGTTTTATGTTTCCAACGCATACTTTGTAACCTCTTCTTGTAAGTTACAAGTAAAACATGCCATCATACCATCTTTTGGTTTTATTATTCCGAAAAACATTATTTTAGCTGAAATGAGTCTTTGCAACCTTGCTTGAAACAATATTAAAGCAAATTACAGTTGAGTCGGTGCCCTTTTTCAAATATTACAGATCTCTCGGTAATTTTCGATTTGCATATCGTCCTTAAAATTACAGTTCTCCGGTAAAGTCAACTACAAATCAAGCAATGCACATCGGTAAACGTTACCGATCGTTCGGTAAATTTGACAGCTAATTTTTTTGATCCAGTTAACAGATTTTTCGGTAATGTTCTAGATTACCGAAAACATTACCGACCGTTCAGCTGTTGAGAATTCGGTAAATGAATTACCGAAGTCGGTGATTTTTTCTAAGTGTGTAATCTTTTTTGACTATATATCAGTATTGAAAAAGAATAAGATTTATTACTGGAGAGATTATTTCGATTTTAATCATGCATGACTACTGCCGAAGTAATCATGGCTCGGACTCAATAAGGTGAAGCGGGAATCTGCATACTTTTTAAGCTTTTTTGATTTAATTTATCTTTGAGAGTATGCAGATTCCCACTTCACCTTATTGAGTCCGAGCCATGATTATTCGGCAGTATGGTCATGCATGATTAAATTCAAATTAATCTTTCCAGTATTAAATTTTATTCTTTTTGAATATTAATATATAATCAAAAAGATTAACATTCAATCAAAAGTTATTAAAATAGAATCAAAAATGATTAAAATTGGGTTCTTTAAGAGTATTGACACACGAGTGGAACTTTGGATCAGAAAGTGGCTCCACTTGTCATTTGCGAACACTAGCGCACCTACACACAAACAACAAAAATTGTATCAATAAAAATAATGCATTTTCATATTGAATGGTTGCCAAAATTCGTAGTATTAACTGCGAAAATATTCAAAATGAAAATTAAATTTTTTGTTTGAATGTGTTTTTTTCACTTTTGACTTGTAATTTTAAAAGTGCATTTTTTAAAAGGAAAGTTGTTCAACTGTCAATATACCTTTTCACATCGATTTGTTTACTAGCAGCACTGAAGTTTCAGTAGCCGTTTACTTCGCGCCAAAATGTATTGCGTTCATTTTTGCAGCAGCAGAACCGTCTCGGATATTGAGTGAGTAATTAATTTTAGAAATGTCGAAAAACGCTTCTTCAACACGTTCACATTTATTAAAAAATTACTTTTTTCACAGCCCCATTGATTCGTCTATGCTCCAGTCAATTTTTGAAACAGCCAGCACCAACATTGACATCGAGAACCTCATGTTTTGCTTCCGCCTACAGACATTTTATTTTATTCATCATCCTGCCTGGCCTCAAGAACGGATGGAGATCAGCCGGGAGTAGTGTGTATTCAACAAGCGATCGCGTTAGGTATTCTGTTGGGAAGTTTCAGAACATTAGCGCTTTCCCTGAACTCGTGCAAGAGTGAGTGAGGTTTTTTGTCTTGATTTGAGATGCTGAAAATTGATCTTGGTGTTTTTCGTTTTAGGCATGTCTTCATGGGTTTGTTCGCGTGTGGTCACTTTCTGCGCTAGTAACGTCGCTCATGGATAACGGAAGTAGAACCCAACGTAGGAGACTCTTATCAACCTATACTTATGCCGTCCTGGACATCGATGGAATCAAACTTCAACTGAAGAATCCCTGATCTCATCTTGGCTGGCGGGGCAGCTGTTCTGAGCTGAATGTGGTAACTATTTCCTGGAATCCGAACCTATTCGACTACACATACATCATTCATCAGCTGTGGCGTGGAGCCTACGTAAGACGCTTATACACGTGCCAGCACCGAACTGACATAATACATATATTTTTGTATTTGTAGATTTTTATTTATCAAATAAAGAAAATATTTGGATTTAATAATTATTAGAATTGAATACTAAAAATGATTTTATAATCTTCAAAATACTTAAATTTAAATTGAAAATGCTTTTAGTGTAAATCAAAACAGTACATATTATTTCAAATTTACCACATTTTCATGTCAAAAATTTGTTTTGAATTGAAAAGAACCCACTTTTAATTTCAATATGCCGTGCTTTTCATTTGACAGTATTACAATTCATCTTAAAAGTTTTAGCTTTTAAAAGTAGTGAGCGGAAAACTTTTAATTAGACAATTGGTTGACTTTAGTTTTGATAGCTAACCGCTTTCTACCAAAAAGAACCAACGCAAACTTTTAATTTTACTAATGGTTTTTTTTAATTTTATCAACGATTATTTTTTGTGTGTAGCGGTAGAAGGCATCTTCTGCCTGCAGTTGAGATAGGCAGCATGCTATAATAATGTGAGTGCACATAGAAAGCCCGTGTGGAACGCTACCACAACACATCGCTTGTTGAGCAGAAAAACGAACACTTTTTGATTCACCGATTTGTTTGCACTTCTCCTTCTGTTCTGTGGTATTGAGGTAAATTCATATTCGTAATCTGTATTAAAAATGGAACCCAAACCCAAAATTTCATCAATTTTGGTACACTGGAACTATTTTAAATAAGTACGATTACATTTGCAAAACTCACCTTATTAGCGCCCCTTGGTGTCACTTTGTATGCACGGATAGAAATCTCCTTATGAACACTCGTGTTTATTTCAGTTACCATGGAGACGTAATTTGTGATTAGCCCCGGTCCCTTTCAAATTGTATCATTATTTATTAACGGTTCTTATATTTGAAATGACGTTTCACATTCATCTACACTGAAGCAAAGACCATAGTTAGGAATACTATTTTGCAAAAAACACCTATTTTCAGTATAACTATGCTTAATGCCGTTAAATCTACCATGATTTCAGTATAGTTGACTAAAAATATAATCAAATTTACTACCATTCTGTCAAAACTACTATGATTACTCAAAAGGCATAGTAGTTTTGATAGAAAAAATAGTAAAGTTAAATGAATTTCGTTTCTGCACAAATCTATTGGTGGGAGTATTTAATTTAAACCATCAATATAGTATTTTTGCCAATGGATTTTGTTTCTGTGTAGTGATGTCCGATTTTCATTCAAATAATCGTTTAATCGATTAACGAACCGAAAAGTAAACTATTTATAATCGGTTACATCATGCCGATATAAGCATTAACATCACCACAGGATCATCACCGATCGTTTCAAACATGTGTTGCACTCTCATTGGTATAGAAATGGCAGCACAGCGAACAAAAAATAATCGATTAGTTGTTAATCGAGTAATTAAAAAATGGGACATCTCTGATTTTGGTGTGATTGTTTTGATAAAAATGAGCGCAAAATTTCATCTCTTCCGAGGGGGCAGCACAACCACAAAATTACCTTGAATACGGGGGGTTCTCATTGGATGAAAGGGACCGTGAAAGCAGACACTAAAATAGAAAGTTTTTCTTCCGACAGTTTCATCTTAGTATTCATCTTTGTTATACCTTTTGGCAAATTTCTATTGCTCATTATTCATAAAATCTATAAGTCAACTAATAAGCAGCCGCCTTGCAAAAAGTTAATGAAGATCATGTATCAAATGAAATGTATAAGCGGTCACACATACCTTTTATGCATTCTTATAGGACCTATGTGGTTTGTCTTATGGAATGTATAAGCACAAACGAAGTGACAGACGACTAACTGGCGAAGAAATCCATTAAAATAATGTGGTTCACTGTAATAGAATTTTCTTGGAAGCTTGTGCCATCAGCCACCAGATGGGTTAGTTTTTTTGTTTTGATTTGAACAAAGTTGATTTTGTGTACAATGATTCTTTGACAGTGTGCAAAGAGTGTATCATTTTGTCAATTTTTTATGCATTTCAGTTTTGAGTAGAGTGAAAGAGATAGAACCAAAACATTCTAGTACATTTGGTGAAAATACTGGTACAATCCAGTAGTAGTGTTGCCATGTGGTACAATTCAGTAGTAGTGGTGTTGCCATGTGGTACACTGAAAAATTGAAATAGCAGGTTAGTCACCAAAGTTTTCGAGCCGCTCCGTCTGTCACTTCGTTTGTGGTATAAGGCTGATGTTTTGGCAAAAATGTATAAGTGAAACACATGGATACAATAATTGATTTTCGTTTCATGTGGAAGTGAGCTGTCAGTTTGTCAGTTTAGTGTCAAACAGTGAAGTTATTATTTTGCTTAAAATCTTGATTTAAAAATCGAGATGAAAGTGTGTGGATTCGAAAAAAATATAGCTGTGCTCAGAAAACAAAGCTCTTTCAGATATAAAAACCGATATATAAAAACCGATATATTTTTCAAAATTAAAGAGCCCAATTCATTCAAAACAGATTATTTTCAATCTAATCAACCATGATTAAGCCGAGGACTAAACCATAGATGTTACTCTAAGACAAGTAGGTCCCGAAGAAACGTGCTCAACTTTTTGGCTCAGCTCTGGTACTATCTTCGGTTCCAAGCTAATCGATTCACCCCTCGAAAAATGGTAAAATCCACGAACCCCTCATTTTATCTGTCAAGCTTTTATACAGAATCAAAACAAACATAGTGTAGTACTAGAGTTCCGACTAGAATGGGTTACGTTAATCGTTTGCTTGGGACCAATAGGCTGGTCAAGTAGTGAACCAATTTCAAATCGATAGTTTCGTATTGATTGTTGATTAAACTGATAAATCGGATGATTATTTTTTAGAAAGAGAGTATTAATTTTTAATCATTCTATTTGATTAAACTGAGTTCAATCAACCAGTGGCAATTAACGATTTTAAATTGGCTCACTACTTGACTAGCCTATTGGTCCCAAGCAAATCGATTAACGCACCGCATTCTTGTCAAAATTCTAGTACTACACAATGTTTATTTTGATTCGCTATGAAAGTTTGACAGATAAAATGAGGGGCTCGTGGATTTTCCTATGTTTTAAGGTGTGCATCGATTAGCCTTGGGACCGAAGGGAGTACCAGAGCTGAGCCAAAAAGTTGAGCACGTTTCTTCGGGACCTTCTGGTCTTAGAGTTACCTCTATGGTTCAATGTCAAATTGATTAAATTTCGAGCAAAATGGGAATAGTTTAATTTATAAGCGTATGTTATTTTTTTCCAAAATTATTATCATCTTACTTTTTAAAAGAAAAGCTGACGTGTTTTTCTTTTGCTGTGTATTTTTCGTCAGCGAATTAAATATTTATTGCTTTAAATTTGTTAATTTGTGTGCTGAAATTTTGTTTCAAGTGTTCATAAAGTTATCATTTAGTGATATATCGTGTTTTGCCCTCGGTTTTGCCTATGTTAGCCTTAAGTGACTCGGTTGACCTTGAATCTAACCTCCAAAATCTACGACGCAGCTTCAGTTTCATTGTTCAGTGTCGAAAATTGCCTCCAGGAAGCCTCCCTAATAAAAAAATAACCCTAAACGAACGATAACCCAAATCATTGAACTATTCCACAAATGGTTTGGATGATACCCAGAACACGTCGTTAAGCAAATTAACCATACCATTTTTATTAGGGCTGGTTCTCCGAGTTCGGATGTAACATTTTCGACGTGTAGTTCTGTTCTATTGAGAGATTCGTTACCGTGGGCGAGTTTACCTCGGTCCGGTTGGTGGATTAGCCCGGGAACGTGCTGGTAATGTGTCCGTCGCGAGTTTTGGTGGTGATTCGGTGGCCGATGTTGCCGTGCTGGTCTCGGACACATACTTAATATGTGCTCACATAAAAGCCATGTGTAACCACACATACTATTCATTTGACTCTTAAATTTCATGTGTGCTTGTGGGTGGATTCTGTTTAAGTGTTGTCACATGAAAATCATGTGGAATTTTAAATGGAAATTTGTCAATAAAAATGTGTGGAATTCTATTAGTGTAGCTAGGTTGTTAAGTGAGATTTTGCATCGTGAAGTCCCGAAAAAAAAATTACAGTGAAATTTTCAGTGGAAACAATGCTCTAACATTAATATTTATTGTCGACAATAAAAATGATTGTTATAATGTTGTACTCTTCCGAAAACGGCAAAACTGCTACCTAGCTGTACAATGAATGTACATAATAAAATGTTGTTACAATGATTTTTATCGTATTTTTCATTTATTTTATTGTTAACATGATACGATCATGAACAATAATGAACAACTCTATTACAATAAAAATTGTTGTTACATTAAATATTGGTGTATTTTCATTGTGGGTTACTTCACGAACAATAAAAATAAATCTGATTGAAGCATGCAGACTATGAGAGGGTCAGCAACACTGCCAATGTAATCAAGATAGGCGCTGCTCGTATGGCTCTGGCTTTGACAGTTCGTTTGGCTCAAAACCAAGCAGTCCGCGTCCGCTCATATCTTATCCTAGACCCTCTCTAAAGCTTAATGGAGATCTTTTCCGTGCAGTCAATAATCATACAATAATAATAAAAAATTCCACCACTTGAAGATGTCAGGAACTCTCAGGTGGAAGTATATTTCATGGGCGATTCTCTCCAGTCGAATGCATTAACTTATCAACGACGCTCAACCACCAAGGAGACGTGACCTAGGGATATCGAGCGCAGGGGAGTTGGCCTGCATTTCTCACAAGTACCGGATCGAATCTCGATCCATAACCAGTAAAAAAAGGACCACCCGTAACAGACATACCACCCCCTTCCCTTCCCGGGGCAATGTTTTATTTTCTCGATTTATTTTTAAAGTCGATAAAGTAGATCTGTCAGGCCAACACATACACTCTAAAGTACACTGTTATTTTTATTAATCAATAAATTCGCCAACCAACAGTAAAATAACAATAATATATAATGTTATTGAAAAAAAATTATATGGGAAAATCACGAAAATTTCATTGTTAAGATACTTAACAACCCCCCTTTTTTATTGTAAATTTTCCATTTACCATGAAATTTATTGTTTTGTACAACATAAATCAAGGTAAATTTATTGTAGACGTAACAATATAAATCATTGTTAAGACAATAATTTTCGTCTTATTGTTACATTGTTTTTTAATGTATTTTTGTTGTTATTTTTTTTCGGGTAGATATGCGATTTACTCAAATTTGGGTTATTGGACTGAACCCTATGTTGTGGGAAAAGTACTTAATTTTGGGTAGTTTCTCATCTCCGTGTAGGTAGACTGATCTTAGCGTGTAGCCTTTTTGGAGATGGGACCACCACGACGCCTCTACTGTGTTCAATGATGTCACATATTCCCATATTCAATGCAAGTCGTACAACATGTTAACCTTATTCCTTGGCTGGGTCTGTCGAAATGCAATGAGTTTATTACCGAGGGAAGCAATCAGTTAAGTTGTGTGAGTGAAACCCATTTAAGAAACAAGCAATTAGTGACGTCACTAATTGCGTTTACGTTGATTTTTTGGTTTACTACCAACCATATTTCACGATCTGATGAACCTCTCTCTGTACTCATTGGTCGAAATGGTCGAATTGGCGAGCTCGTGCACTCAAATTTCGTGAATTTCAGGTTTGCGACAATAAACAAAGTTAAGTTGAGTTTTCTTTGTCCTAATAAACTGTTCTGCTTATCAGCTTTTGGAATGATGTCCTAAACGTCTGTGTACAATGGAATCAATGCAGATAGAACAAGTTGATGTGAAACCACATATAATTAAGGGAAATATAGACAGTTCAACAGTTGCATCCTCATCCGACGTAGAATCACAGAAGGTAACCGAAATCGAGATTCTACCAGTTATATACGAAATTATCAGGAGGTTAGTGTCATTAAATTTTAAAACACTTGTAACATTACGTCGGCCTGTTATGTAAATACATAAATTTAATGCGACATTTTAATTATCCACCAAACCAAGTGTCGAGAAAGATCCTGTGGATAACGCAGCTAAACAAAAAGAAAGCCAGGACTGTAGTTTAAAGGTAAGTTGAAGTGAGAAGAACTTGAATATAAAAATTCAAGAGTGTGAATTCCGTCTACACAGAATTTCAAGTGGTAGGGGAAATGGCTCTAATGTTAGCCTATGGATCTAAGATTGGGCCCATGGCTAAAAATATGCTATTTATCAATTTTGTCTAAATGAACGCGTCATTGGAACGGTACTAATGAATATTTTTGGTCGCTATTTAAAATTTAGTCGATTGCTGAATTTATGTATGGGCCCAAATTAGGGGCATTTAGGCCGACATTACATCCATTTCCCCTAGATTATTTCTTTATTTTATTGTAAATATATCTACTGGTAGTTTTTTTTACGTATTTTGGTGCCGCGAAAAAAGCGATCTTCCTGGATAGGCCATAATTACGAGCCAGTGCCGAATTTCAGGATCATACTTCTTTTATGTGTCTGTTATTTTATCATTTAGGTTCTGGAGTTACAAAAAAGACTAGAATTGGCGCGTGTGACAATTCGACAGCTTCCCGGAATCGAGTATAGTAAGGAAGAACAGCTAAGAAGACTCGAAAGCCTTCGGAAACAACTGGCACTCAAACAACAGCTTATTAAGAAATACAAAAACGTTCAATTTTAGTACGGAAATCATGGTGCTTCGCGTTATTTTACGGTACTTGGCTAATAACGAGCAGTTGATTCAGCGACTGGCCGAGAGTTATCCAATGCGCAGAGCTGCTCAATTGCTAGTTAGCGCTTACTATCGGAGTCGGGCAGTTGCACAGGAACAAAAGCTAGTAGAGATGACACCTGAAAAGTTTAAACGAATGATGAATGCATTTAAAGATAATGTTAAACAAGAGATAGAGGCTGCGAAACAGGATTTGAAAAAGCGGAAATAGTGAATAGAGTTACATTTCTTTCAATTCTATTTCAATATAGACAAACATTGTAATATCTAACCTATGTAATCTTAACAAAAGTTAATCGGAAAGAAGTCCATGATTATCCCATACAAGGATCGTTCTCGAACAGTATATTATCGATACAGTTGAAAACCGGAATAACCCACTACAACCGATTTTACTCGCGTTCTACACATTAAACACATTGTTGGAATTAGTGCACTATAATCGCACAATGATGCGCAATACAGAGCACTTCTTCCGACACTGTATAATGTATAAAAAGAAAGTAAAGGCCCGAACGCAATGTGAGTGGAAGCGGAACGGAAACGGCAAGTTTGAAAGTTTCACAAATAACATCAAGTTGCCTAACCGACTTCGATTTGATTCTAACTAGTTTCAATCCGACAAGTGGGCTTACTCAGATCGGGCTTTTCCTTCTTCTTTCCTTTATTTAACGTCGGTCTCTGTTCCGCAATCTAGTGTCAATCACCGACGGACATCGATTGCCATCCATTGACGGCAATCCGAATGTGCAGGAAGGCAGCTTCCACACCTGCGTAGAATATCGCACCCATTCACAACACACATGGGCCGGGACCAATGGCTTTACTTCCCTTCTGAAGGAAGACGTGACCAGAGATTTTTATGCCTCAGAAAAATCCCACCGACCTCGGCTGGGATTGAACCCAGACCCATTGGGGTGTTAGAAAGCAGTCACGCTTACCACTACACCACCGGCGCCGGCTCTACACTATGTTTGTTTTGATTCGCTATGAAAGTTTAACAGATAAAATGAGGGGTTCGTGGATTTTTCTATGTTTCGAGGGGTGCATCGATTAGCTTGGGACCGAAGATAGAACAGAGCTGAGCCAAAAAGTTGAGCACGTTTCTTCGGGACTTTCTGGTCTTATACCACAAATGAAGTGACAGACGACTAACTAGCGAAGAAATCAATTAAAATAATGTGGTTCGCTGTAATAGAATTTTCTTAGAAGCTTGTGCCATCATCCACCACATGGGATAGTATTTTTGTTTTGGTTTTGCACAAAGTTGATTTTGTGTACATTGATTCTTTGACAGTGTGCAAAGAGTGCGTATCATTTTGTCATTTTTTTATGCATTTCAGTTTTGAGTAGAGTGAAAGAGACAGTACCAAAACATTCTAGTACATTTGGTGAAAATGCTAGTTCAATCTAGTAGTAGCACAAACGAAGTGGCAGACGGAGCGGCTCGAAAACTTTGGTGACTAACCTGCTATTTCAATTTTTCAGTGTACCACATGGCAACACCACTACTACTGGATTGTACCACATGGCAACACTACTACTGGATTGTACTAGCATTTTCACCAAATGTCCTAGAATGTTTTGATTCTATCTCTTTCACTCTACTCAAAACTGAAATGCATAAAAATAACGATAAAAATATACACTCTTTGCACACTGTCAAAGAACCATTGTACACAAAATCAACTTTATTCAAATCAAAACAAAAAAAAAACTAACCCTTCTGGTGGATGATGGCACAAGCTTTTAAGAAAATTCTATTACAGCGAACCACATTATTTTAATTAATTTCTTCGCCAGTTCCCGCATAAACGCGAACCATAAATTGACCTTACCAAAAATGGTTAAAAATTGTTTATAATCCCTGCTAAACTTCAACTGAAATGGTTATGGAACTTTACAAGAACGTTTAATGATAAAGTTTTAACTTTATGTATTATGGTTTTTTGGAAGCGGACCTTACAAATAATGAGTTGTTAAGAACCATTACCATTCAAAATTCTTGTTTTCTCCATATATTTTCGGGAGGAGGACTATATTAGAACCTTTTAACTTATGGTTTGAGAACATTAATGGTTATGGTTATGGTAGTCAGTAAGGTCCATGAATAGTTATGTAACATCGATCAACTTTATGTTGAATATATCGCGAATTGGTTGCCTGTAAATTACTGATTACCAATTCACGATATATTCCACGTTAAGTTGAGCGATAATACAAAACCATTAATGGACCTTACTGACTATCATAACCATAACCATTAATGTTCTCAAACCATAAGTTAAAACGTTCTAATATAGTTCTCTTTTCGAAAATGTATGGAGAAAACAAGAATTTTGAATGGTAATGGTTCTTAACAACCCATTATTTGTGAGGTCCGCTTTCAAAAAACAATAATACATAAGGTTAAAACTTTATCACACAAACGTTCATGTAAAGTTCCATAATCATTTCAGTTAAAGTTTAGGAGGGATTATAAACAATTTATAATTATTATGGGTAAGGTCAAGTTATGGTTCGCGTTTATGCGGGTAGTCGTCTGTCACTTCGTTTGTGGTATTAGGCTGTGTTCCATATGGTGAATTTTCACTTAAATTTGACAGATGGAAAATTTTCAAATAAACCTGTTATTGTACCAGACTTATTTTTGACAGACCAGGAATCAATTTTGACAAACACCTTCTCGAAAATAGAAAGATAAACAACAGAGAGATTTTCGAACATCTTAATTTATTTTCGAAGTGTCAAATTTAAGTGAAAATTCATCAAATGGAACACAACCTAAAGCCCAAGCGCAATGACAGCGGAAGCGGAACGGCAGCGGCAGCGGAAAAGCTCGATCTGAGTAAGCCTACTTGTCAGATTGAAAACTAGTTAGAATCAAATTGACTTCGGTTAGGCATTTTGATGTGATTTGTGACAACTGTCAAACTTTCCGTTCCGCTTTCGCCCACATTGCGTTTGGGCCTTAAGGCTATGAACCATTTGCGGAGTTAATTTTAACCCGTGGTTCAAAGTGACACTTCGAAAGTTATTTTCTATGTTCGAAAATCCCCGTGCTGTCGATCCACCGGTTTTCGAGCAACGGTTGTCAAAATTTAACTTCTTGTCTGTCAGAAATAACCATGCTCGGATAGCAGGGTTAATCGATAACTTGTCATCTGTCAAATTTTAGCCAACATGGTAAGAAAAAGTACCCAACGGCCAGTTCACTTTTACCACAAACAAAGTGACAGACGACTAACTGGCGAAGAAATCCATTTAAATAATGTGGTTCACTGTAATAGAATTTTCTTGGAAGCTTGTGCCATCATCCACCAGATGGGTTAGTTTTTTTGTTTTGATTTGAACAAAGTTGATTTTGTGTACAATGATTCTTTGACAGTGTGCAAAGAGTGCGTATCATTTTGTCATTTTTTTATGCATTTCAGTTTTGAATAGAGTGAAAGAGACAGAACCAAAATATTCTAGTACGTTTGGTGAAAATGCTAGTACAATCCAGTAGTAGTGTTGCCATGTGGTACAATCCAGTAGTAGTGGTGTTGCCATGTGGTACACTGAAAAATTGAAATAGCAGGTTAGTCACCAAAGTTTTCGAGCCGCTCCGTCTGTCATTTCGTTTGTGCTTTTACCTACTTTTGACTACCGTAATAAAAAATAAACAGAAACGAACGATAACCCAAATCATTGAACTATTCCACAAATGGTTTGGATGATACCCAGAACACGTCGTTAAGCAAATTAACCATACAATTTTTATTAGGGTAGTTTGTCTCCTTTTCTCCTACTAATGTTGTCAAAAACGGAGGAGCAAAACCACCCAACAGGAGTAGTAAAGTGTGGGAACCCAACGTTGAGTATAATCATATTTACCTACTGTTGGGTACAACTAACTTACTTTTGGTTAAAAAGCCAGTGGAAAATTCCATACGAACTGCACACAAGTAGAAATACTCAGAGGGAGAGATAGGCGGAGAAAACAAAACACTATTCGGCAGCAGGGATTTGTTCCTAAATTATCTTGCAACCCTTGCTAGAAGCTAATATTTCAAATGACTTTTATTTTTGATTCGATATACGTGCAAAATAATAATTGATTGCATCGCAATATTTTGCACATTTCTTGTTGCCATTCATTAACCAAAGAAGATCAATTAATCAATAGAGTTAGAATATTGCTTTTGGTTCCAAAAACTAGTTGAATTTGAGAAGCACACAAAACATATAGGTGATTGAATTTCTGTTCGATTGCAATACTCTCAAATTTATTCTAGTAAGAATAAGAAATCCTCGGATAAATTCTAATTGGAATGATCGATTGGCTCAGATTTTGACAGTTCATTTGGCTCAAAACATTCTCTCCGCCCATCTCTCCCTCTGAGTATTTCTACACACGAGTAAATGAAAATTACTTTGACCCGCTTTACCTACTTTTGGGTTCCTGCACTCAAGGTGACTACAAATAGGTGTTCTAATGTGTCAAATTCATGATTCAGCCATGTTGGATTTTTGTATGGGACAGCGCCCGAGTTTGTTTACAATTTGCTCTAAACCGCACTTTCCCCCCCCCGCGACCTCCTCGCCTATATAGTGAGAAAGCTGTATCACCATTTATATACCCACCATGCCTGCACTATAGTGCCGAGATGAGTGAAAAGAACTTAATTTTGGGTATTTTTTTCTAACCGTGAAGAGTTAAAAAATTCGCCAAATGGTTCAGAGCCTAAAGGCCGGCGCACAATGCTTACGTTTTCGGGTTTTTTGACAGATATGTGCATGGGCTAACTGTCAAAATGGGCATGGGCATGGGCTAACTGTCAAAAAACCTCGCAAAAAACCTGAAAACGTATCCATTGTGCGCCGGCTTTAAGGCTGTGTTCCATTTGGCGAATTTTCAAATAAATTTGACACTTCGAAAATAAATTAAGATGTTCGAAAATCCCTCTGTTGTTGATCTTCCTATTTTCGAGAAGGTGTTTGTCAAAATTGATTCCTCGTATGTCAGAAATAAGTCTGGTACAATAGCAGGTTTATTTGAAAATTTTCCATCTGTCAAATTTAAGTAAAAATTCACCAAATGGAACGCAGCCTAAGGATGTAAACCATTTGCCGAGTTAAATTTAACTCGTGGTTAAAAGTGACATTTCGAAAGTTATTCTTGATCGACAGCACAGGGATTTTCGAACATCAAGAATAACTTTCGAAATGTCACTTTTAACCACGAGTTAAATTTAACTCGGCAAATGGTTCACAGCCTAAGTCCACGTAAATAGTACCACTGAACTGTCATCAGATTGAGGTTAACCCTGACGGTGCAAAACCTTATTGTCAAACTGCAGATATTTTGACATCACAGGTGACACATAAGTGTTTTGTTGTCATATCATAATCACAAGCAAATTTTGTAAAAGTTGCGACATTGAGAAACTAATATTTTTTGGTGATTTTTCAACATTGAAAAGTATTATCGTAGAAAGGGCGTATTACTCATACAGGTATAGATTATTCTACCAATGGTGTTTAAATCGAATAATGTTGGATAAAATATGATTGAACGAATTAAAAAAATCTGTGAAAGGGCAGTTTAGATGACGTCCTAACTCATTACCAAAAACAGAAAATTATCATTAAGCCGCTTGGTATTTAAAATCAATGTTTTACTAGCTAATGCCAGCATGAACAAGGATTTTAAGCTACAATGTTAAAATAAAGTGTTGATCACATATAAAGTTATGCTGCGATCAAGGTGCACTAACGAAAAGAAAGATATTGAAAAGATCGATCTGAACAAAATTTAATTAAATAAATTTGGTTACGACCATGTAGTTTATCTAAATGATTTTGGATACTGAAGAAGGGATAAATTTTTCCCCTCAAAAATTGAAAATTATGACCCTCAACTCTGCTCGAATATTTGCAAAAAAAAAACTGTTTATTTTTCTTTAATTTTTATTCGCAATTCTTGTGTTGTGCTCTCTGTTTTTTGTGTTCATCTACTATCAACAGTTCTCTTTTTTACTCATTTCAGTTGTCAGCAGTTGCTTATTTTGCATTCTTAGATTATCGGAAGAAGAAGCGTTTTGACTAGAAGGTGATGCATTTACATTCAATTGGCAAACAGCTGATCCAGAAATTAAAATGCAATCATCAGCACCTCCAGGGCATCCTTCAACTCAACCAGCGACAACCATGAATATCAGTCCGGATAAGCCAACAAAAGTTGATTACTCGTGCATTCGAGGAAAGACAGTTCTCGTTAGTCCAACGGAAGAACAGTATGAAGCACTCACCAAACGGTTGCAGGAACGGATTGCCGACAGCCGTGGCGAAACGGTTTACGAGATTGGAGTAGGAGAAGGTAGGTAGTTCCCGTGTGCCCGAGTAAATATTGAGCTTTCTGACGTTTATTACACGCACATTTGCGTAATCGCATTTTCAAGTGCAAAGTTTATTATCCTCACTTTCGCTCCAGCCAAAAATGTTGGTTTGTTATTCTTATCCTCGAACAATGCAATAATAAACGGGTACCAAACACTAACAATATCATAGATGGTACGACCATGCCACATAAAGTTAGGATGATACCCCGAATTCATGGTCAGGCGCTTCTTATGGTTATTGTTTATGCGGGATTTCAATAACCATAATATATATTGGTTATTAGCCTATTTCCGTGTCCTGTGTCTTGGTATACTGCTTAATTTTAGAAAACGGTGGCCACTGAACCAGGAATTAACCGGAAATCGAAAACAACCGATTTGATTGGAACCTTGAAATAATATATATTTTAAAAACATGTTTTAATTAAATTCTGTTATATAGGGAAAATGGCTCTAATGTTGGCCTATGGATCTAAGATTGGGCTCATCGCTAAAAATCTGCTATTTATCAATTTTATCTAGATGAGCGTGTCATTGGAACGGTACTAATGGATATTTTTGGTCGCTATTGATTTTTTTTTCGATTGTTGAATTTATGTATGGGCCCAAATTAGGGGCATTTCAAGTCTTCGGTCCTGACTACGAGGTCTTTCGTTGCGTTCGGAATCCTAACAACAGTCGTAAACCTACTGGTGGAGGTGTCCAATAAACTCATCGATACTCACTGTCGGTCAGTTTTCACAGTTATCGAAAGTGCCACTGCAGTTGATGAGATATTCATTTTTGGTGACTTCAAACTGCCAGGCGTTTCGTGGAGTCCATCTCATAGCAGATTCCTGTATCTAGATTCTGATAGCTCTACATTTCACGCAGGAGCTATTCTCGACAACTACAGCGCAGCAACGCTTTATCAAATTAACCATATAGTTAACGAAAATGATCGTAGTTTGGACCTCTGCTTCGTGAGCACACAGGACAGGGCTCCATTAGTTTCCTCGGCTCCTTGTGCACTAACTAAGCTAGTTCCACATCACCCTCCTGTAATTGTCACTGTTGAGGAGAAACTCGTGCGTGATTTCGACGATTATCCTGCTTCCGGTTCTTATGACTTCTGTAAAACTGACCACCATAGCATCATAGATGATGATGATGATGGTCCCACCTCTTACCTCTACAAAGGTTTGAGCTGGACGATTAATCTTTAAGATAATTAAATATTACATTTTAACCAGCTTAGCAAACAAAATCAAACTGGTTTCAGTTATAGATATAAATTACCTCTAGAGTTTACAGTTGCTTCATAGCGATATAAATGTGGAAAAGCTCAGGCGTCCACCTCTTAGTTCGCCTTTTTGTCCACCTATAATATTCATACGTATTACAAGCAATCAAGCGTTAATGAACAATCAACAAAGCATCCTATTACACTAGCAACCCCGCAATCTGATGCTATCATAATTTTCAGCAATGTTGCATAATTTTCAGGAATGCTCACGAACCCCCAACATTTGCCAGAAAACTTACTACTAACTCAAAGTATCTTCCAAATAAGCTTCAAAATTGCATTTTTTTTATCAAATGTTAAATTTAGACCTCTATAACCGTAATACGCGCGCGAGGCTCAAACCTTTGTAGACTGCTTTTGACGTAGGACTACGTCTTTGATTTCTGTATGGAGGTACACTTTGTGAAAACTGAAAATGGAACATGTAACAAATTATGAAAGATTTTGAACGTTAATAACTCAGCTGCCCCTGAACCAATTTCAATAATTTTATCACCAATCGATCAGGGCTACGCTTACGTATCGATATCAATGACTGTTTATGTTCAACAAGAAACTATTGAAAAAGTAGTAAATGTCAAGCATTGTCCAAAAGCGTTAAAAAATTAACAAATCCACCAATTACGTACATGCATATGCTGCCTCTCCAGCACAGTCGTCAGAGAGTAGTTAGTAGACGAAACATGTCGATATAGCATTACGACGAGGTTCTGTAGCTCAGTGGTTACCGTTTCTGCTTACTGAGCAGAAGGTAGGGAGTTCAATCTCCTAAACCTTGCAATTTTTCACTTTGTCTTATTCTATCCCCATTACATTTAAATAAAGAACAAGTTCTGCTTTAACCGATCGCATCACTTACCACAGTGAATCCTAATCTAAAAATAACCTACCTCACTTACACTACTATCCTTCCCGAGATAGCCGTGGAGATGTATTCTCGGTCTCTAGTAACAACCGGACGTCGAACTAATCATCCTTCCCTCTCCAAAAGACCAGGAGGACGTGGCCGGCGCTGTGAATTGATCTATAGAATGAATTAATGTGCTTGTACATTGAAGATGGAAAGCTCATCCCATGCACCCATCTATGTAGTTCTCTGTGCAAGTGGATTAGTTGTGATCATTCACGAAGGAGCAACTACGAAGTGCACGGTCAGATAACGTTAACTCGACGGCAAACACATTCATTGATACGTTTATTGTTGTGGATGATAGAAGAGCATAGCAGAAATAGTGCGAAATAGGAAGCTATGGTCATCACAAAAGAGGAAATCGAAAAAGCGAATTGGCTTTCACCCTTCTGCTTCTAAGCCCCTTACATAGCATCGCATCGCTTTTGGTTCTAGGGCACTTGCTGGTTGCAATTTTTAGATCAGGATTCACTGTGATGTGATCAATTGTAAGCAACAGAAATTTCCTTCCCAACTCTTTTGTGGAATCTTTTAGTGGCTCTGAAAAGGGCCGGTTTTGATAGATTTCGAAGGAAAAATTAAGAGCGTTCACCACAAATACGAAGAGCCAACTGAATGTCCTTTGGCATAATTGTGACACGCTTGGCGTGAATGGCGAACAGATCGACCAGATAGGTCGGTTTATTTCAGTTTTTTTTAGTTAGTTAGTTAAATGATCTTTATTTCTTGTGTTTGTGTGGTTTACATGTATGAATTTTTTCAAGTGACACAGATGCGTCTTTTCAACTTTAGTACAGTGAGATTTTAATTATTATTTACAGTTTCTAGTCCTATCAGGCCTATTTTAAAGTATGACCACCTTGGTGGGATTGGTATGATTTGAATTGGAAAAAGGAGTCTACTTATAACTACTATTTACAACTACAACTAATCTACAACTACTATATACACCTAACCTACTATATACAAATTGCTTATCAAAGCATGTTCTGATAAATTACATTTTTGTGCAAATTTAGTCTTAATTTCGTTAATTTTGGAATCTATTTTGGCAATGCCTGCCTCTTCATGTAAATTTGTTATTCTAGTGTCGAAAGGACGATCAAGAACCATCCTCAGCACTCTATTCTGAGCGACCTGAATTTTGTTCCTGTGAGTCTGTGCACATGATTCCCACACCGGAGCTGCGTAGAGGATCGCAGGTGCTACGATTTGTTTGTAGACGGCCAGTTTGTTCACCCTTGAGAGGCGGGATCTGCGGCAAATCAGCGGATACAGACACCTAACCAAGGTAGAACACTTGACTACAGTTTTCTCTACATGCGAACGGAAGAGGAGCTTTTCATCGATCAACATCCCGAGATAGGTTACTTCGGCGGACCACTCAATCCTTGTGCCATCCATGATTACAGTACAAGATGGAGCCGGTTTCAGTTTGGGCGATTGCCGATGTAGGAACATGATCGCTTGTGTTTTGGAGGGATTGATTTTAATTTTCCACGTGGTGGCATAATCAGCAAAGGCGTTAAGGCATCGTTGAAGTTTGTTCGTTATTTCGCGAGGCATCCTTCCTTTAACGGCTATTGCGGTATCATCTGCGAACAGGAAGAACACGCAACCGTCTCCAAGGGGAGGAATGTCGGAAGTATAAATGCTGTAAAGCAAGGGGCCCAGCAGACTGCCTTGCGGCACTCCTGCTGGGATGGAAAACGTGTCGGAAAGACAACCATTCAACGATACCTTAAACGACCTTTGCTGAAGGTAGTTACGGGTGATTTTAACCAGATGTAATGGGAAGTTGAAATTACAAAGCTTGTACACAAGTCCGTCATGCCAAACATTGTCAAACGCCTTTTCAACGTCTAACAAGGCCATGGCTGTGGACTTGGATACAGCTTTGTTACTTCGGATGTTATTCATCACCCGTACTAGCTGATGATTGGTGGAGTGCCCCTTTCTGAATCCAAACTGTTCCGGAAGGAGAATGTTATTTTCCTCGACAAACTTGAGCAAACGATTGAGAATGAGTTTCTCGAACAATTTGCTCAGCGCTGAAAGGAGGCTGATTGGTCTGTAGCTTGAAGGCAATGTTGGATCCTTACCGGGTTTGCGGATTGGTATGATTTTTGCTACTTTCCAGATACTTGGAAAGTAGTGCAGTTCCAAACATCTGTTGAAGATAGCGGTTAGAAGAGACTGCACTTTCATGCTGAGTCTCTTCAAGATCAAGTTGAATATACCGTCAAACCCGGGAGCCTTCATGTTCTTGGTGCATTTCAGCGCTGAGCAAATTTGTTGTACTGTAATCATATCCGCCGGAGGCACGACACAAGGGGAGGCATCTAGGTTTTGAACGCATTGCGCAACCTGATCTTCGAGCGGACTTTGGATATTCGAGCCAAGCAAATGCGATGAAGCGACATGCTCGCCGATCGCATTTGCTTTCTCCTGTGGGGTGATTAAAAGCCGATCGTCATCATTTTCGACTCTGAGAGGTGGAATGGGTTTGGGATGAGTTTTCAGGACCTTGGCTACCTTCCAGAATGGTCTGGAGCGGTCGTCCAGATTCTGGACAACACGCCCGAAACTTTCATTTCGGAGTGAGTCCATTCTGGAAGCAATCTGTCTGTTCAGATCAGCCATTTCACGTTTTTTGCCCAGATCTCCAGTCCTCTGAAACTGGCGTCTACGAACATTTCTCAGGCAAATCAAAAGTTGGGTGTGGGAATCAATGGCAATAAACTTACCCCTCACAGGAACTCGTCGGACGCACGCCTCGTCAG